CTTTACCCAACCAGGGAAGCAAAGCGGCTAGAGATCAAAAGACTCACCGACAACTGAAATTACATGGCAGCTTCTTGATGTCAATACGCTTGTGGTTTCTTTCCTCCTGTAAACTGTGAGCAATGACATTTACTAAAACGTATGAATTTTCTCTATATCAGGCACATTTCCTTTTCTACGGGCATTTTATATAATAAGACGGTTTGCTTGGAAAAAAGTACATCTAAGGAGAATCAACTTATACATACCTTTACATAAAAAACGTTTGTGGTAAAGATTTAAATGAATTGCAGTTTTCAATATTATCACAATAATTGTATGTTTGTTTACTATATTAATTACGACAATGATTAATTAAAAATATCATTAAACGTAAAAATGTAAGCATACAGACTAAAAGATTTACAGACTAAAAACAATTAATAATATAAAGAGTTTTCCGAAGATTGTAAATTAATTTATCTAACGATTTACGCAATAAATAAAAGAAAGAAAAAAATAGTAAAAAAAAAAAAAGAAAAAAAGTAGTAATGAAAATACGCATTCGTGTGAGGGATTGAGAGATAGAGACAAACAGATCCAGACGAATTGGTTGTTATTAGAGTGCATGTCAATGAGCATGCGCAGAAAAGAGTTGCTCTCTTGAGAGATTAAGGTGGTTATTCATCCGTTATCTGTCCACTATCCGTTCACCTAAAGTCTGAGTTCTCTAAATCATTCGTCGGAACGTACAAAAACTGCTGAAAAACATCATACAATGATTAATGATATGCATAAAAGACGACTGACCCGGCATGACGCCATTGAAGCATATGTTTTATATTTGACTCGATCAGGGCCGTTTAAGAATAATACGAATAATACCTGATGCCGTAAAGGACAATGATCTTGCTTGTCTCGGGCCCACCCTGATAACAACTGCGCCTCAAGTTACTGCTTTTTAATTCAGCAACAGAATTAAAATATTTAAAGCATCCACGCATTTATGCTGTAAATATAAATTCACTTAATTAATGATAAATCTAGGATAATGCTTTTTACAATCCAATTCGTACAAGACGTTAAATTAGTCACATTTTTTAAAATAGTCACATTTCGTTTAGACAGCGAAAGATTGCAAAGAGGTAAAGTAACGAATTTTGAACTTATATAAAATAAAACGGCCATCTACATATCTCCACATATACGCGATAAGGTTTAAAATTAATTTTTAAAAATGAAAGATCTTTCTTGAAACTTTTAATTTCATTTTAATTTCAAGCTAATGGATTATTTCCAATAAGCGAAATACTTTGCTGTATTTCAAAACTAATTTAAATTGAATGGAAGGAGTTTTCGTTTTGAAATTGCTAAAATTGCCGATTTTAGCGCCATTTTTAGCCATTAATATTCCTCAAATGAAATAATAATTCAACATAATTCTCTTTATTAAAAAATCTTTAAAAAATATACTTTTCTGAAATTTCATTTGAGGAATATTAACTGATTTAAAGTAAACTAAAGTTTAATTAATCTGATTTGAAACATTACTTAGTTCAAAATATCACAGAAATGCATTTATTAACACAGTGATAGGTTTTTATTTAAGGTGTTGACAGCTTGACTGACAGACTAATTTTTTTATATAGTGGACATGTCTGTAAAATTTCCTTGAGGTATATAACGTGGGTGCCTTTGTTTATATAATTTTTAATTAGCCAGTAATCTTAAATTTGAATTCTTCGTAATGTAATGTTTTATTGAATGTCAGGTAATTTGGTTTTAATTTTACTATAATTACTGCTATTATTTTCTGATAATGTCATGTATGGATATCTGTATTTACAAAAATCAGCAAGTTTATACACATAAAATTTTTAAAATTCTTTTGAAAATATTGGTGTTCGACGAATTGTAGTAAACTTTTCAATTTATGATTCGTAAATATAGTTTTTATTTGATAACAATATCATCTAATTGGGACAAAGTATCATAGAAATTTAAAAAAGTTTAAAACTTTATAAATTATTCTGATTAAAATTTTTAAAAATGAAAACAATTCTTGTATAAATTCATTATTCAACAAAAAAATGATTTTTTTCTTAAGACAATAGTGTCCATAATATATGTTATTTGTAAAAACAAAAGCTTTTCTAATTAAATAGTGTCTTAGTTTTATTGCATTTTTTATTTAACAATTCAAAGCAGATTTTAGGTAATTGGTCTTACAAAAAAAGAAATGAATGGTTTAAATTCTCCAAGAGTAAAACGATGAGACGATAAACTGGCAGGACAGACTAGCTTTGATTCGAATGTCAAAACCTGGTGGCAACAAAGCAAATAAGCGACCCACGATAACAACGACCTTCTAGCGTCCATTGTCTCACTAGTGGAACATATTTAAAAACATTTTTTACTATCTGTCTATATTTCTGAGATGAGGTATTATGTACACTATTTACATTATTCGGACTATTGTCCTCATCTTTGTCGCCATATTTATCACAACGTTTCGGCCCTTCAGTATCTGTCTATATTTCTGAGATGAGGTATTATGTACACTATTTACATTATTCGAACTATTGTCCTCATCTTTGTCTCCATATTTATTACAATGTTTCGGCCATTGTACGCTCCGGTCTTCTTCAGTTGGTTGGAATGTCGAACTGAACCCTTTATTTCGCTCACTGGGGTAGACTGTTCTAGTTCCACGTGCCATGTTTAATGGGTATCAGTTATCTCCTGTTAATTCCACATGAAGAAGGCCGGAGCGTACAACGGCCGAAACCTTGTGATAAATATGGCGACAAAGATGCGGAGGACAATAGTTTGAATAATGTAAATAGTGTATTTTTTAGAATATTGTATTTTACGACAATGTGTGAGCAGATATTTTATTTTAGTCTCGTCCGCAAATATTATCAATGAATTAATAAAAATGAATACCTAGTTAAAAAAATGTTCTAAAATATATTTCACTCGTAGAAGAATTAACATTGAAAGGATAATGGTAAATGGATTAACAAAAAATATTTAGACTGTAAATAAAGTTCTGAGATTAAAGATTTGCAGCCAAATGGATTTGAATGATTGAAACTAATAAGAAATTCCATGGTATCATTTTTGCATTTTATTATTAAAATTAAAAAAAAAAAACAAAGAAACTTTTTGAACTCATAATGTTGTGGAAAGAAGCATGAACCTGAATCAATAAGTCTATAACCTGATATATAGTTTACTGTATAATGTTTAATCGTTATGATTAATGGGAAAGCGTTGGATTAAGTGCCTTTACAAAAATGGTTGTATTGAAAAATAAATATTTGTTGTTTAAAATGCTTTATATAAAAAAGCTACGGACTTATTGATGCAGCTTGTACCCTTGAAGGGTTTCTTAATCTTTTAGTAGTGTTCATTGATCCACTAGCGGAACATATTTTTTTTATACAAAACTAACATTAATCCTATTTTAACACTATGTGTAAGCACTTGTATTCGAATCTCTTCCTTGAATGTTATCAATAAAAGACTAAAAATGAATGCTCAGCTTGTATTAAAAAATGCACATGCAAAATATATTCCACTCGGACAAAAAACGGTACTAAACGGTTTACTTAAAAACAAGTTGAGCAAATTGCACAGGTGCAACACTGATCCGGGGTAAAAGTGCCGATTCATTCATAAAGAATCCATTAATTTTTTTTACAGGTACTATGCATATTTATATATTTAAAAAATTCACACGTGAGAACTACCTGTCAAAATATACGGCCATATTGAACAGCATGGCTAAGCTTATAGATTCCATAAACTCAAATTAGCAGCTGATTTGGAAAACAACCTTCAATCTTTTAACTTGGGCAAGAAATGACTTGTTCGTTTTAACGTCTCCAAAATTAAACTGTTCTCTTTTGATCGCCTTACAGAACCTATTTTGCATTCCACCCATATGGCTGATGCTAATCTCCAGGGGGAGTAACTCACTGCACCTTCCCCGTTTTCCACTGACATGATTTGGAACGATTATATTGCGTGAATTGATAAGCTTGCTGCTAAGAAAGTTGGTTCATTGTCCGTGTATTGAATATTGTTGCCCCATCCTCGAGATTCTTGAAACTATCCAAAGAAGAATTTGCAATATTATCGGTCCTGACTTGACATATCGGTTTCAAACACTTTGCCACCAACGTAACGTAGATTCCCTGTGCCTTTTCTATAAATATTTTCATAGCAATCTCGATTGCATGAATTTAAGTGCAGTATTAGATTGTTATGGTAATTTACTCACGTACGCATAAACTCTCCCAGCTATAAATAGGAGCAGGTACTGCCTTTTGGAGAGTAAAGTTTCAAGCAGTCAGCTCTGACAGTCGGACCGAACATTCTTGCTGTAATACTCTCGTTTGTATATGTTTGTATTACTGTTTTCTGTTAATATATTTGTTTAACTCTATACCTCTCTTGTGTCTTTAATTCTGGCCCTAACAAGGCCACAACAGAAAGAGAGAATGAAATAAAGAAGCAAAGAATGAAATTAAGAAAAAAGAAAGAAAGAAAGAAAGAAAAAAAGAAAGAATGAAAGAAAGTGTTATGGTAATTTACCCACGCACGCATGGACTCTCCCAGCTATAAATAGGAGCAGGTACTGCCTTTTGAGGAGAGGGAATTTTCCAGCAGTCAGCTCTGACAATCGGACCGAACATTCTTTCTGTATCACTCTCGTTTGTATATGTTTGTATTACTGTTTTCTGTTAATATATTTAACTCAATTCCTCTCTGTGTCTTTATTTCTGGTCCCTAAAAAAGCCACAAACAACGGCTCAGTTTCATCCTTTTACTACTGAAATGGCTAAATGTAACCGCAAGTTCTATTCTAATAGTTTCTTCTCTCGTGCTTCTCGCCTATGAAATTATCTCACAGTTTTTCTTGATTTCCTGTCAACTACAATCTTCAAAGTTTTAAATCCAATGTCAATCGTTCTCTTCTGTCTTTTTCTCTCATTGTTCTTTTTATTACCATTAGCGGTCATATCACGTTGAAAGACCGGTTCTCGTACGATCACCGACGTTAAGCAATGTCGAGCTCGTTCAGTACCTAGATGGGTGACCACTTAGGAATACTAGATGCTGTAAGCTTGGATTCGTGGGTTGAGTGATGAATAACGGCTCGGATTAGGAAATCGGAGAGTTTGGTTCGTTATATTCACTTACACGCAAATACCATTTAGGTGAGTTATTGATCCACCTCTTCTCTCCCCAGCTATGGATTAAATAATAGAGCATATCAATAGGAGTAGGTAGGCATTCCTATTGCCCGGTCAACACCTCTCCCCCTTCTCTTGAACAAGCGCAGAGGCTCATCTCTTGTTTCTTGTTTAAGAAGGGGTTCCCGGTACTTTTCTTTTCCTTCTCTCTCGAAATCCAGAGACGGATATGCAATGTGGTTGGTCCTGGTCTGGCATCTCGTTTACAGTCGCTCTCTCACAGACCAGCCGTCGCTTCCCTCTGTCTTTTCTAAAAATACTTTCACGCTAACTGCTCCGACGATCTATTTTTGCTAGTTCCCAAACTGCATGAACTTAAACGTGCCACTAGATTGGCATCTCAGTCCCATCTTTTCACTGTCGAAACCGTTAAATGTAGCCGTCTCTTCTACTCCAATAGCTTCATGTCTCGCACTTCCTGTCTGTGGAACTCCCTGCTTCTTACTTGGTTCACTGATAGCTATAACCTGCAACTATTTAAATGCAATGTCAATCGACATCTGAAGATGTCTTGATCTATTCCCCGTCCTTCTCTTCATCCTTTTCTCTTTCACGCCATTTTACGCTTTTGCTGCCACTTTCTGTAACTCCTTGCGGACTAATGTCACTCCTGCCTTGCTTGGGTGAAAAGTTGTAAAATATCATTGCTATCTCCAAAACATTTTTACAATCTAAAAAAGATTTTCTGCAAAAGGTTGATAAAGCGTAAAAAACGAATTTTATTATCCTTTCTCCTCAGTAACGTTTTCTCTGTTTCCTTGACTCAACTGTTGTCCATCCTGAATAACCTCTTGCATCTTAGTGGGTTTATCGCTTTCTTTGATGTGAAATGGTTAAAAAAAAACTAGTATTAATATATGATTCTATGCTTCATAAAGTGTGGGATGTTTTTTTTATTAAATAACAAAATGACACCCCTGCCTCAAAATTACATTATATAACAATTGGAGAAGATCGTTAAATATTCCAATATGAAATGGCATCAATTATGACTGCATCTGTAAACTTGTATTAATATAAGATTTTGCTGGGCATAAGATGTCGAATCGTTTTTTTTTTATTTTTTTATTAAGTAATAAAGTGAGTCCCCAGAATCACTACATGTAGCTCGTAAGTGAATGTGATGGATTTGACTTAATTTCGAACTCGACACTCCGATTCGTCAATCCGAGCCGCTATCCAGTACACCACCGCACCTCCTTACGTGCGAATACCCTTGGGAAAGATATGAATCCTCCTCTTCTCATCACAGCTATGGACAAATAGCAGGACAAACAGGGTTCTATAGCCTTGGATGGCAACTGATCTACCGCAGAAAGAAATAGCAACCTACTGCGGGAAAAAAAATTGCCTCGTCAGTCATGTATCGAAAGGCGTGTATCACACATGGCACATAACTGACTGAATTACAACATATTAATATAATAATCGCAAAAAAAATGTATTTAAAGACACATAAAAACATTTTAGCAATAGTAAGGATTTAAAACATGACAAGTAAACTCTATAGTGACATTGTTGAAGAGAATTTGGATCTTACTATCCGCGGAATCATCAACCGCTATTTCACTTATCGGCGGTTGACCCAGTCAGACAAACTTTCGGGTTCAAAATGTTATTAAACTAAAACTACGTTGCAAAATTTAAAGGAGTAAAATATATTAAAAACACAGATCTAAATATAATAGAAATGAATAATAATAATAATAATAATAATAATAATAATAATAATATAAATTTCTCAAATAGCAAAATAGCTCAAAAGAAAATAAAACCATCTATTTTACATGGATGACTTAAAATTGTATGCTAGGAATGACAATGAGCTGGAAGGTCTTCTGCAAACTGTAAAATGGAAAAAATGAAATTCAATTTGGAATAAATGCCTAAACTACAGTTTTTACGAGGACTAGCAACAAACTTCCTCTATTAGTTTAGACCCTGCTGTAACAATAAAAGATTTAGAAAGGAAGCTTAAACAATAAATAAAATTCACATAAGAGTGTCTATAGCAGAAATGAATCAGAACAGAATTAATAATAATAATCCAATAAGTTTCAAAATGAAAAAATAATAAATGTTTTGACAAAGCATCGATACAGCTAAATCTAACACATGGAAAGAAAAGAAGTGAAACAAACATGAAAAACAGAAAGAAAAAAATATTCAATAATAAAGAAGGCTAAGCCAAAAAATTTACATTTAGTGACATTGTTGAAAATCAAGAATTGCAGCAAAAGATATGAATAATTGAACAGATGACAAGCTGTGCAAGACAAACCTCTGATAGCAAATAAACAAGTTGATAAATGGAAACTCATAACGACATCTGAAATCCTTACAAGACCAGAGTCTTTTCACTAGGAATTTTCAGGACAGGTTCTGTGACAAATACCAAGAAACAATAGACCATCTAATCTGGGTTCCCTAAGCAAAGTTATTAAACTAAATGCAAACACTTTGGAAAAAATTAACAGAAATGAAATCGGCCAGCGCCGGTTAAGAAAAGAAGATGTCACCATAAATATGGATTACGATCCACACAGACAGAAAAAACGCAAATAGGCCGGACATTATTGTCAAAAACCAGAAAGAAAAAAATCCCTAAATTGATAGTCCAGCGGATTGAAATGCAACAAGGAATTTGAAAAAAACTATCAAAATACAAAGACCTGGAAATTGAAATGAAAAAAATGTGGAAATTGAAAACAAGAATAATACCAGTGGTAATAGGTGCACTTGGAAATAAAAAAATGGAACAAAACAACACATTGAAAGAATCCTGGAAACTTAAGAGACATACAGAAAATTGTCTTATTAAGTACAGCACACACACTAAGAGAACTTTGTCTATGTAACGCTAGCAACTTCATCGGAGATAAAAAAAAAAAAAAAAAAAAAAAAAAAAAAATTAACATGAAATGGCCATAACAACACACCACGACCTGCCTTAGGTCTTTCCGCAGACTTGGTAAGTGTGTCCATAGCAGAAATCGAATGATGATGATGATGATAATAATAATAATAATAATAATAATAATATGTGTTTTCTCACCAGACCTTTCTCAATTTTATACAACAACTTGAGAGAATTAGAAGTCCTAACCAGGATTCACTATTGGCTGTTACAATCTCAACAACATACAATATGCAAATGAGACAGTGTCGATAGCAGACAGAGAAAAGAAACCATAAGCACTCCTACAGAAGTTAGTGAAGGAAGGCGATAAGAAAGGACTAAGCATCAATTGCAAGAAAACTAAATGCATGGTTGTTAAGAAAAGGATGAGTTCAAAATGCAAATTAGAAATTGGAGATCCCGAAATCAAGCAGCTACAACAATTTAGAAGCGTATTAACAGAGGATGGAAAGTACGACACTGAAATCCGAAGACGCATTGGGATTGCGAAAGATGCCTTCCAGAAGCTAAGCAAAGTATTAAGAAACAGAAAAATATAGTTAGAAACAATGTAAAAGAGTATTGAACTGTTATGAAGTATTAGTCCTCTTATATGGTAGTGAATGCTGGATAATCTCCTAGCAGATGAAGAGACTTAAAGCAACAAAAATGTGGTTCTACAGAAGGATGCTGAGAATACCATGGACTGAACATGTGAGCAATAAGGAAGTTTTAGAGCAACAAAAAGGACACTTATGCTTAACATCAGGAAGAGAGAGCTGAAATGTCTGAAACACATAATGAGGAAAGAGGGCTTGGAAAATTTGATACTCACAGGACAGATTGAATTGAAGAGAGACAGAGGACAATAGCACATAACCTACATGGAGAAGTTGAGTGAATGGAGGGTGGGGAATAGCTTTTGGGAGAGATGACCAAAAGACAAATGTTATTAAATACTACAAAAAGGACAGGATATTGTGGAGAGCCATGGTCACCAACGTTCTGAAGGGAAACGTCACATAGAAGAAGAAGAAGAAGAAGAAGAAGAAGAAAAGCTAATTTTAGTCCAGGACTTCGTTCTCAGAGAACCCAATAATGAATATGTTCTGGCGAGTCTATCAAAACTGAATTAATTTCTCACAAAGCACCAATACTGGTGCGTCTATTTATGAAGGACCTTGCAGTCAACGGCTTGTGAGATGAGCAAAATCACCACAACGAAAACTGCTGTAAATCACTCTGGTCTGTTCGGTGATTTTTCACAGTACGACAGCCTCGTTTTCATTCAAGGACGGTGAGTGAGATATGGCTGTGTTTTGTACATTTTTTCTGTGTCTCCAGTGGCGCCAAAGATTCTAGTCACCGTCAGCAAAATGAAACCAGGGATAGAAAAAGGACAACTTAAGGTTGTCGACATCGTCCATGCTGTGATATCTACCCGTTTGTAATAACAGTGTTGACAGTGTCAGCTTAGATGCACGGCTCTAAAAATTATGGCAACACTTTTTTTAAATGTCACATTATCAAACAATGCTTAAATAAGAGTAGGCTTGTGATTTCATACAAAGTTTTGCTTGAAGGCAATAAAACCAGGTAAAAAGAAGGATAGAATGATAAAAAGTAAAAAGGAATCGAAAAGAAATAAATTATATTTTTAAACAAAGAACACTAGCAACCTCTAAAGAGAATAGGTCAGGATAGTAGAAGACGCAATAAAAGCAAGAATATTCTTTTTTGTTTGCTTGGGTTGACGCATTGTTACATATTTTCATTTACTGAAATAAAGATTTGTCCTGGAGTCGTGTGTTCAGTCCTTGGATTATAGAGTGAAATGCTACTTGGAAACATTGATGTAAGGACAAATGACTGCTGGCTGAACAGAAAAGGATACTGAATTTGATATTTTTTCAAATGACGTTTCTCGTTAACCGAATTATTTATGTGTTTACCTGTTCAGTGATTTTCTAG